CCATTGCAGATCAGGTTTATTGGCAAAATGTACAGACTTTCAGCTGTTTGTGATGAACAAGTCAAACAAAAGCAATTGAAATCGGTCAACACAACGAATGTTTGAGTTCCTCAAATTCAACTGAAAATGCAACTTTTAAAGTGACACGAAACCCTCAGATTTTGTAACATAAACCAATACTGTAATGTGCGCCTTACTGTAATCCATGGTGGTTTCCCTTCTCTTTGCTGCTCTTCCTTTTAAATCCTCATCTCTTCTCATGCTGGGGGGGAGAACTTCTGTTTTGCAGCAGACTGCCTTGTCTCTGGAATGGCTACACGGTGTCTGTGTGTAGGTTTGCTTTTATCTTACGAACATGCTACACACCGGCCGAACATCGTACCATGCTCGGCGGGTTTTCTAGCGTGTTCCTTAGACAAAAGACGTGCGACCGTACAGTAGAAACGGTCGCACGTCTTAGTTCACACTGCTCGAATCTCGTACGAGAATCGAGCAGAGTATGGGCACCTTAAGGTAATTAAAAAAATGTACGATCCGCCCATCTTGGACAGGCAGATCGTACTTGCGATGATCACAAGCCACGCCCCCTGAGGGGCGGGCTTCCGATGACCGCAATGCCGCTTGCGCACACCGGCCCGTCCGGCTTTTATCTCACGAACATGCTACACACCATTGTACGATGCTCGGCGGGTTTTCGAACATGTTCGTAAGTTTAAAGTCGTGCGACCGTACAGTGGTAGAGGTCGCACGGGTTCCACGCACCTTACGGTAATCGTACGATCGCGGGATTTCCCGCCATTAACGTACGGTGTGTGGGGACCTTAACACTTGATACTTTGTTGTATAGAAAAGCATGCGGCCCCCTCGGGTTGTCTGCAGGACCCGGTACGGGTGGAAGAAGATGATTCCGCATTTTTATAGCTCCAGCTGAAGGGGAAGCCGGGAGGAATCTGTGTGGGAATGTATCCCTATGTCAGTTCGGGGTCACCGGCCCCGTGTAATTCGGGGAGGTCAGTTAACTTTGTGTGCAGCGGCTTCCTGTCTGCAATGTACGTTACTCTCCCCATTGAACAACACAGCTGAGCTCTGTCCAGGACGATATTCAGACCCCTTCACGCCTGTGCGTTGCATTAGCACACTGTGAAATGTAAATTTAACCATGCGTTACTGCTAACGCAGAGCAGCATGTGGACTGTGCATTGCTGAATTCTGAATATCACCCCAACACGCTAACTGACAGCGCATGCGCATTGTAATACACCACAGAGAATAGAGGCAAACAATCTGTGCTTCTCTGTGCAATGCAGGCCGATCGTGGCTGGTGGGCGGGGCTGGTGGGCGGGGGCCGGCAGGCTGCTGTACATAGCTTGTAGAATACATGGCAGCATCCTGCCTCAGTACTACTCGCAAGAGTCCTCAGCTGTAATGCAAGCAGTGGGAGGAGTTATGCAAATATCACAATGCCTTGATAGATGGGCGTCGGTCTGAAGGAGAGGGGGGTCCGCAAGCAGGCTGCACTTGCATAGGTAACACCCACATGTGATGCTGAGACTCCATGATTAAAAGAACTGAAATCCAATTAAAAGGGCGGGGCTAGGAACAGTCACTCTGGGGAGGAAAGAGCTACATGATGCTGGATGTCCTCCAGCCAGGAAATGAGGCGGGTTCTGTCTGACTTTCTGCAGCTTCTAATGCACATTGTGAGAAGCTCCCAGTGTATAGTGACATCAGAGGAAGAGGAGAGGAGCCGCTACAACCGTGCCAGACTGAAGGGGAGGACGGAGGTCAGATAGAAGACTGAAGGGGAGGACGGAGGTCAGATAGAAGACTGAAGGGGAGGACGGAGGTCAGATATGAGACTGAAGGGAAGGACGGAGGTCAGATATGAGACTGAAGGGAAGGACGGAGGTCAGATAGAAGACTGAAGTGAAGGACGGAGGTCAGATAGAAGGCTAAGGGGGAGGACGGAGGTCAGATAGAAGGCTGAAGGGAAGGACAGAGGTCAGATAGAAGGCTGAAGGGAAGGACAGAGGTCAGAAAGAAGACTGAAGGGGAGGACGGAGGTCAGATAGAAGACTGAAGGGGAGGGGACGGAGGTCAGATAGAAGACTGAAGGGAAGGCCGGAGGTCAGATAGAAGACTGAAGGGAAGGCCGGAGGTCAGATAGAAGGCTGAAAGGAAGGACGGAGGTCAGATAGAAGGCTGAAGGGAAGGCCGGAGGTCAGATAGAAGACTGAAGGGAAGGCCGGAGGTCAGATAGAAGACTGAAGGGAAGGCCGGAGGTCAGATAGAAGACTGAAGGGAAGGCCGGAGGTCAGATAGAAGACTGAAGGGAAGGCCGGAGGTCAGATAGAAGACTGAAGGGAAGGCCGGAGGTCAGATTTCATTGCTATTACAGGCCACTATGTAGCTCACACTATAGGAAGCCTTTTGCTCTATCAGATTGGTTGCTGCTCCTCAGTGACTATTTGGGGGCATTCTCCGGGACCTGGAATCAGGAAGGTGAGTTCTGAAGACCTTTGATCTTGTTTGTGGACAGGAAAGGTCTCCGGCACAGAGCGCTTTTGTTCCCCAATTCATTTATATCTCATCGCCGGCCCGGGGCCCGCAGACGGCTCCAATGACCTGAATACCTCTCCGGGAAGAAAAGGTCTCTTCTGTCATCGGGCCCGCAGCCAACGCGCATCAAAGGCCGGATCCAGCGAGTGTGACGGGGAGATCGGGGGAGTCAGTGGCCTGGAAGCTGCCAATTCCTCCCGATGATAAAATCTCCCCCTCACCTTCCGCTCTCCGTGTTTAATTGTCCCCGCTCCGCTGATTCCTGCCGGAGGGGCACCCAGGACACCGCGTTACCCTCCCCCCCCTCACCCCACCGACCGTTCAATGGGAAGAAAGAAACAACTGCGTGATCATAACTCCGCTCAGCGTTCTCTATCGCTGCTGATAAAGATTTGTATTTACACAATGTTATATATAGAGCTCTGACATATACCGCAGCGCTGTACACAGAACACAGCCATTCACATCAGCCTCTGTACAGAGGAGCTTACACTCCAATGTCCCCTCCCCCCCACAGTCACATCAGTCTTCCCCCCACAGTCACACACTATTATGATACATTTATATAGCTCTGGCATATACCGCAGCGCTGTACAGAGAACACTGAGCCAGTCACATCAGTCTCTGCACCAGAATATTATAGAATATAATTAATATACAGCATATAGTTAGTTAGGTTGAAAAAAAGACAGATGTCCATCGAGTATATACACTATACTGCCAAAAGTATTGGCCCCTCCTGTGGACGCCTTCCCAGAAGAGGCGGAGCTGTTATAGCGGCAAAGGGCGGAGCCAACCCAATACTGAACCCTACGGACTAAGACTGGGGGGCCATTAGAGGGCGGAGCCAACCTAATACTGAACCCTACGGACTAAGACTTGGATGCCATTAAAGTTCATGTGCGTGTAAAGGCGTCCCAATACTTCTGGCAATATGGTGTATCTATAGAATAAGACAACCATGAAAGATTATAAACTATTTTTGGTTTTATGCCTAGGGGGCCCCTATTGGCCAAGGGGAAGCAAACCTTCATGTCTGGTCGTGTGGAGTCACTGTGAGCAGATTGCCCTCTCTGATCTTATCTGTGTCCCTCATCAGAGATGATGAGACTTCTGAGCAGATCCTCCTCCTTTCTAACCGGGTATAAGGCGACTTTAATTGTAACTATGTAACAAAATCAGAAATCATATGATACAGTATGACAGTAACATATAACATGGGTTACTTTCCACTGTCCAGAAAAAGTGCGTTACAGGGATTGGGACAAACCAAATAACACTGCCGGGGCGGAGCTTACAGCGGTCAGCTTTTTTTCTCTCATGGTTTAAACCAATTTTCCAAAAAGATAAAAGAAAAAACTGTGACTTGTGTGTGTGTGAGCCGGAAATCCCTCCTGACCAAAGCTTGTAAAATGTCAGAAAAATTCAGTGTTGGAAATTCATTTTTGCATGTACAGGATTCCAGTCACAGACTCCAACACTCGTGCAATCCATTCTATAACCCGTAAGCGCACCCTTAGGAGTGCCTAGGCACAGGAAGCGCACCGATATCAGGAGTGTCAAGGCACAGGAAGCGCACCGATATCAGGAGTGTCTAGGCACAGGAAGCGCACCGATATCAGGAGTGTCTAGGCACAGGAAGCGCACCGATATCAGGAGTGTCTAGGCACAGGAAGCGCACCGATATCAGGAGTGTCTAGGCACAGGAAGCGCACCGATATCAGGAGTGTCTAGGCACAGGAAGCGCACCGATATCAGGAGTGTCTAGGCACAGGAAGCGCACCGATATCAGGAGTGTCTAAGCACAGGGAGCGCCGCGATATCAGGAGTGTCTAGGCACAGGAAGCGCACCGATATCAGGAGGGTCTAGACACAGGAAGCGCACCGATATCAGGAGTGCCTAGGCATAGGAAGTGCACCGATATCAGGAGTGTCTAGACACAGGAAGCGCACCGATATCAGGAGTGTCTAGGCACAGGAAGCGCACCGATATCAGGAGTGTCTAGGCACAGGAAGCGCACCGATATCAGGAGTGTCTAGGCACCACGGAGCTTCTGGGGGCCCCGGAAAAGATTTCGGAGCGCCGTCCTGTTGCTCTGTAGACACTCAGAAATGTTTGCGGAACATTTGGAATCCTCTTGTGTGAGAGTGACATCAATTGTTATCAGCGTGAACTCTACAAGTGGCCACTTCTCGTATCTCAGAGGACATCGTGTCCCTCTCTGCTTCAAGGGGTCTTCCACTCCGGGCCCAGCATGGGGGGGAAGGGGACAACATCCGGCCATGCTTGCTGTGAGCTGCCTGCAGACATTATATAGGCGGTCAGACCTGCGGGCACGAGCTGACCAATGAGGCCTCTCCTGCACTGCGCAGGGAACGGGCGGTCAGAAGGATAGTCGATCTCTGCAGATTACACTGGGAGATGGCGACTTTCCCTGTGTAACCAGTTTTGAAGCAGTTTTCTAGCCAAAATGTAAGATTTCAACATGAATTTGAAAATCAAAAAGTTAGACGGAAGTGGTTAAACAACATTTTAGTCCCTATTAACCCTTAGAGGACCCGGATTAGTTTTGATTAACTCCTTCATTCCCCTCGACATCATCCTCTCGGGTGGCAGAAGAACTTGTCTCCCGTCACTGGCAGCAAACGTCTAACACCTTGGTTCTCAACTGGTGGGTCGCGACCCCAGGTTCAGTGGGGTACTACATGCCTTTAACTTTTCTAGGTGAGGGGGCTCCTCAGCCTCCCCCTAGCGCAGCGCTGTCAGTTCTCCTGCCAAGCAGCCATTTAAAATATGCTTCCCAGTGCCGAGCGTCAGCTTGAGGTGGGCTGGTGCTACGGCTGTGAGGGAGCTCCATCCGTACGTGCATTGCTTACAGCTCCCTCGCGTGTCCTGTAGAGACCGAAGAGACATTCGGGCTCCCGGCACCTCTACAGAGCACACAACGGAGCTGTACAAGCATTGCACGTATGGATGGAGCTCCGTCACAGCGCCGCAGCCCAGCACTGGACCCCAGGCTGAGGATCCACTCCAGTTATCGTTAGCCCTCGTTCACACCTGAACGTTTTGTAGCGCGTTCTACGCTCGACGAACGCTCTACAAAACGCTCAAAAATATAAATCCCATTGTATTCAATGGGTCTCGTTCCCACCTTGGCGTATTTCCGCCCGTCCCTAACGCGCTACAAAACGGCCCACGCCTGAAAAGGTACAGGTACTACTTTCGGCCGTTTTGTTGCGCGTTTCCATTGGGATACAGCCAAGTAGCCTTCGGAAACGCGTGTTTGTCGCGCGACTTTTTTACCGCGAATCGCGGTAAAAAACGCGCGACAGACACGCATATGCAATACGCCTAGGTGTGAACGAGACCTAAGGTAGGGAGACTGGGCCCCCCCTCCCTACCTCCTGTAGCTCTGGGCCTGCTCCCTATCAGCATGTTTTTTTTTTCTTCACTTACCTTCGGTGCGGCGAGTCAGCGCTGGCCCGGTGGGAGGAGCTCCAAGTGGGGGTCCTAATTTAGCTGGCTGGCGACTGCCAGAGGTGCCGCGCGTGTCGGGATCCTCAGGCAGTCGCCGGCCAGCTAAATTAGGACCCCACCTGGAGCTCCTCCCACCGGACCAGCGCCGACTCGCCGCACCGAAGGTAAGTGAAAACAAAACAAAACATAGCGCAGGCATCGGGGCATTTTGGCAAGTACAAGTACCTGCCCTGCAGCGCCCTCAGGCGGCCGCTTGCCTTGCGGTAGCGCCGGGCCTGGTTGTTGTGCGTGTCTGTCAGTAGTTTTGAGGGCCCGTTCACACTAGTACAATGTGCAATGCAGTGAAAAGTCCTGTGCGATTAACACACTGTACCATGCAATTGGACCTACTACCAGTTCTGGTGTGGAAGGTGCATTGCGTTGCCATTCAATTGAATGGCCCCCCCAAAACGCACCTCTGCCCACAGTTCAATCGCCCGCACCGGAAAGCGCGGTACCACGATGCTGTGCGTTCCAGTGCGGTGCGACTTGGGTCTAGGGTTGCCACCTTTTCTTCAAGCGAAACCCGAACACTGTAGAGACGCGCAGACAATTTTTTGGGAAAATTAGTCGTGGCTTATTCATATCTAAATTAGACTTGTGCGCCGTCAAAAAATTTGTTTCGTTTCGGAATATCCGTTATTTCGTAATTCGTGTCTGTGACAAATCCAGGTACGCATTCGTACGAAATACGAATTTTCGTTAGTTTCGGCACATTTTCGTAACTTTACGGACATTCGTTATGATGAAGTTAAAAAGCAAAAATACCTTTGTTAATATTGGAGTCGATGTGGTAGTTCCGTTAACAGATTTCGGATCCGAATTTCGTATTTCGGATAAAAAAAAAACAAAAAAAAAAACTACCATCAACTCCAATATATTAACAAAGGTATTTTTGCTTTTTAACTTCAATATAACGAATGTTCGTAACAGAACGAAAATACGTCAACGGAATTTGGTATTTCCTGCCTGTGTATTGTAATGCGACTCTCAGCAGCAGCCGATCCGTATTTCGGATATAAAAAAAAAATCTTGTCATGTTGTTCAACTTCATTTACAGGGGTAATATTAGTTCCCGTTTCAACGAAATTCAGATCCGAAATTCGTTAACGGAATTTCGTATTTCGGATATAATTCGGAAACTGCAATTCGGATTTTGGATGCTTCCGAATTTCAGGAAATACGTACGAATTTCGATTCGTAACGAAACGAATCGCACATGTCTAATCTAAATAGCGCCGCCCACTCATATGCAAATATTACAGGTGAGACTATTTTCATTGGGGGGGGGGGGCCAGTAGCCCCTATCTTAATTTTGGTTGCCCCCGTCTGCCTGACATCTTATGTCCGGGGTTTCTGACGCCATGAAACCCGGACACAGCATTCAAAACCCGAACTGCCCGGGTGAATCCTGGACAGGTGGCAGCCCTACTCGGGTCGCGACTTAAAGACCAAGGACGAATGTGGGTCCCAGGGTTACACAGGTTGAGAACCACGGCGGCTCTAACACACACGTCGCTGTCCCCGGAAAGCACTCGGTCACATGATGCCGTGCAGCCAGTGACTGGGGCTTTGCTGAACAATACGCGGGATTATCAGCCCAGGTGTTACCCGTCCGCTGCACAGGTGAAGCGAGCTGTGACCGCGGCCTCTCGGAAACGCGCTCCCCTCTCTGGTACACAACGCTGGGAAGATTCTCCAACCGAAATCTAATTGTGATCTTTATTGTACTAGACGCAGCTCTAAAGCCACCCGGATTCAGGGGCTTGTTCACATAAGTGGCAATGTTTTCCTTCTTTAAGT